TAATACAAATGTGAATTTAAAAAACAAAACAACCCTGTCTTATTTACCTATAATTCTTCCACTCAGAGATAACTTCTGTTAACTTTTTTCAGTGCACTTACCGTTACATATATATACCTTATTTTATTTATATATTTGTTTTTTAGGCGAGACAACCCTTGGTTGACCTCACAGATTTGAAGGACCTTGTCAGTTTACAATCCCTTATTTTTTTATTTTTTACTCCTACTGCACCTGGTCTTCCTAGGTGGTCTCCCATCCAAGTACTAACCAGGCCCGACCCTGCTTAGCTTCCGAGATCAGATGAGTTTGGGCTTGTTCAGGGTAGCATGGCCATAGACTAATTATATACTTTCTAAGCAAAAAAAAAAAAAGATGACAATATTACTTGGATACCACTTTTTTACAGTTATTTGATTGGATGTATAATAAATGGCATATTTCATGGTAATTAAGCTTGTTATTTAAGAAATATTTTTATTTAAAAATTGTCTCATACCTTTTTTATAGGGTATAAGAAAATAAATCTCACAGAATAGCTGCCATTAGCTTCATTCACTGATGTATGAAGGAAGGTGGGCAGTGCTAGGTTAGTTGAATGTAGTTTTCTCAGTAATTGAGGAGATCTCTTTCAGTAGCTGTTTTTGAGGAAGTATCTATCATCTAATTAACAAAATTCTAACAGGATTATAGAGAAAAAGGGTATGCCATACCCACATTAAAAACTAAGTCTCTGCTTGGAGGGAAATTTCATTAAGCTTTGGTTAATAGAGGACTTGAAGAGATTTTTGAAAACCATTTTTACTGTTCATGTGTTATTTAAGAGTAAAGTACAGGATTGTAAGACTAGAGCATGAGCATTCTTTTTACTCTATGATAATTCAGAAAATATATGTATGGTGTTTGGTACACCTTTGAAATCTTATGTATATGTGCTTCAGTATATGAAATGAAATTGTAATAAAGGTTCAAGTCACTTTCATATGCAGCCCAGAACCATTTCATGAATTATGGCTTGCCTTTTGGTATGTATAGGAATTCGAATTTCTAAACGGCGGGAAGAACGATGCAATGATAATTAATTTAGAAAATTATCTCTTTGAGCTGTTTGTGGTAGGAACATGATGTTCCATAGAGGTATAATTAATCAGTGAAATTCACCAAACGCTTAGACTTCATTCAACCTTTGAAGTATTCTTCCCATAGCTTTCTAGGAGCAGCCAGAGTCTGTACATATTCTAAGTCAAATGTCAATATTCTTGTACCATTGTGAAATTTAAGACAAAGTTTAGTCTTGAGTTAAGAAAATTATTGGCTTTTAATGAGTTTTTATCATCTTTTCAAGCTATTTTAGGAAAGCAGTTTTATCAAGAATTAAGATGAAGAGGATATTAGACTACAGAAAAATCAGGAAAAGAAAAATCACAGAGTTTAGTTATAAAAGCAAGACATACTTAGTATTGTTCAGTATATGGGGAACTTGAATGAAGTTCAAAACAAAGTGTATATTTATCCTTTAACATAGAGTCTCTATTGAAGTATTTTTAAATTACTGAATTAAAATGGCCAAATACAAGGTTTATTAAACTCAATTCTTGCAGTTTTATCATTATATATTGTTAACTTACATAGTTCCTGAAGAATTCATGTACAACCCATTGACCAGAATCTATGGTGAACCTCACAGAAGACCTGAAGTTCAAAATGCTACAATTGAGTTTATGGCTCCCTCAGAATACATGGTAAGTTTTCATTTTTTTTTTATATAGCTTATTTATTTCATAATACTGGGTTTTAAATAAAACAATATAGCTTCCTTTAACAAAGTTTTGTTATTAAATTTAGAAGAGTTATACTTGTTCGTTATAAAATTAGTTAATTAGTATATAAAGGTAAGTGTGAAAAGTGAAAGTATATAAAGTTCCACTTATGTTTCTTGTGTGTTCATCTAGAAATTTGCAATATTATATTGAGATCATATTTACTTTTGAGTCACTTCCAGTTTTTTTCAATTACAAATAATGGTGTGATAAACATCCTCTTGCAAGTGTTTTTATATACTTGTGTGAGTATCTGAGGTCTTGCATTTTAAAAATAATAATTATGCCTGATGTTTAATTAGACTTTACATAGTTTACAAAGCACTTATATGTTTTTTATCACCACCAACAACTTCCTGAAGTAAGCTAAGGAAATACTATTAATCCTATTTTACAGATGTGAAAACAGACTTATTAAGGTTAAGCGACTTGCCAAATATCTTTTAGTAAGTGGTAGAGCTTGCATTAAAATCCAGGGCTTTTGATTTGGTCGCTCTCTTACCATGCCATAACTGCCTGTAAGTAAGGGAATAGGAAGGTACGACTTAACACCAACTTTTAATATTTCATTTTGTATATTTTTGAGGGATAGTCTTTATTTCTTTACTTGAGCAATTTTGGCCATTTTAGTATAGAAATTATGAGGGTTCCATCTCTTTTCATCATAGAGAAATTTCTGTGTAGAAAAGATTTTTGCGACAGTTTAGTGGTTTGTTACAGCTTTCTGCAGTGTACCTGTACCTTTGTTGAATTAAAACCAGAAAAAGCAGAAGCATTTGTTCTTTCGGCTTTCCTGGGTTTCTTTTCTTTTATCACCAGGTTTTGTAAATATGGATTTCTTTAAATTTGGAACTTGCCTATAGCAAGAGGTTTTGCTTCTTTCTGACTTACCGGATTCTATGATTCAACAAGTGATACATATAAAAAAATATGAAAATTAATACATTACATGCCTAGCTCTGGTTGTGGTTATTTGATGCTTTTTATTGAATTGAGAACAAATCTTTGAATTTGTACATTTAAAAATACAGTCATGTTTTGTTTTTGTTTTTTTTTATGAAACTTGGCTGAAATGTGTTGGTTAAATAACCTGCTCAGGCTAACTTGATTTGTCACTTTCAGAGCTGTAATTTCCCTAAACTGTGAAATAAAATGCACATATGGAAAAGTCTATAAAACATAAATATATAGGTTACCAAGTACTTATAAATGCCTGTTTTAGCACCACCCAGATCAAGAAATTGAACATTAGTCAATATGCCCAGAAGCCTTTCTGATCACATCTCCTCACATTCCTGTTCTAGAGAAAACACTGTTCTGACTATGGCAATCACATCCTCGTTTTTCTTTTTCTCAGTGTGCATCTGAAAACAATATTAATATAGTTTTGCCTGTTTTTTAAACTTCTGTTATTTTCTTATCCATTATTATTTATTATAATTTCCACTTATTTTGTAAATCATGCTTATTTTATTATTTTGTTGTATGTGGACATGGCAAATGATAATTTTAATCCTGTTAAATGTACTTAATGAGATCCCTTTTTTCTTCAGTTACGACCACCTCAACCTCCAGTGTACCTCTTTGTATTTGATGTATCTCACAATGCAGTTGAAACTGGATACTTGAATTCAGTTTGCCAGAGTTTGTTAGACAATCTAGAATTGTAAGTATCTTAATTCAGCTTAAATTTAAACTATTTACTAAATGGATAAGTAGTTTCAAAATATAAAAAAAATTGCTGTGAAATTATGTTCTAAAAGCCTACTTATATCAGTTGTGAACTTTAGGGCTTGCTTTCTCTGAGAAACTTTAACTTTTTATTATGGAAAATTTTTAAACATATAGTAAATAGAATGTAGTGAATGAACTTCCAGATCTCCATCTCTCAACTTTAGCATTTTTGGCATTTAGCTGTTCTTGCTTTATCTAATTATACATGTGCGCATACACGCACACACTGATTTAATGCAAATTTCAATCAGTATATCATTTTAGCCATAAATACTTGGAATTATTTTTAGCCCTAAGTAAAATATGAATGTCACACCAAACAAAATTAGCAATAATTTAATAGTATAATCTAATACCCAGTTCAATTTTTGTTCCTGGTTATCTCAAAATCTTTTTACTGAACATTTTTTGGAATAAGAACTCAGACAGTATTCACACATTGCATTTGATTGTCGTATTTCTATATATCTTTTAAAACATCTATACTTTAAATGGTGTTTAGATACTTAGTGTAGCCTATAAAAGCTTGTGTGACCATTCTGTGAAATATAGTGTTCTTTTGTGGGTGGAAGAATGTGGAGGGCCAAATCTCATCAGAAATGGACTGACTCCCTCACCTTGATGAAAGAAAGGGATGTCCTTGTTTTTGCCAGCATTTGTATTTTTGGGTGAATTGGAGAGAGTCCCAATTCACCCAAGCATGGGTAAAATTTTTTAAAGATACATGCATTACCTAAATTTATATTACATTTTAGAGTTGACATATGATAATTTTTCATGTATTTTTGTAAATTAAAATCATCTACAGTTTTGTATATGCGTTCCAATATTTTTATATGCCTTTTCTTACATGATTTATATAGGTATAATGAGTTTCAAACTGCTGTATTATTGCTGGGTTTTGTTAATTGTTTGACTTATGCGTGGTGTTTTCACTTTGATTACAGTATGTTTTAGTGGTAATTAAACATTGAGCCGATTAAACACTTATGTTGGGACAATTTCCATAATATAAAAGTAGATATTTATATGTAACTCTTAGCAGTTATTTTATATGTGTGTGTGTATGGGAAAACGTGATAAAATACTCTTCTAAATTTGTTTTTAGGCTTCCTGGCAACACTAGGACAAAAATTGGCTTCATAACATTTGATAGTACAATCCACTTCTACAGTCTTCAGGAAGGTCTCTCTCAGCCTCAGATGCTAATAGTTTCAGATATTGAAGGTATATATTAAACACTTAAAATTATTGAACTGTCTTAGGAATTTTTGGTTCTAGAAGTATTTCATGAATATTTGACAACTAGGAGTGTATGGTATAATTCTACTATATTGAGGAAAACCTTAAGTATAAGATCATAAAATTGTTAGAATTGAAAGAGTCCTTTAGTCCAACCCCTCATTTTATTGAAGAGGAAACAGAGTTATGGAGGTAAAGTGAATTCTGAAAAAGACAACAAAAACAAGTTGATGTTAAAATTCAGATTAACTCTTTTTCCCTTTAGTCATTCATTCAAGGATATTTAAGGATAGATATGTAGACCAATGAAATAGAATAGAGAGCCCAGAAATAAACCCTCACATATACGATCAGTTGTTTTTGACAAGGATGTCAAAAACATTCAATGGGGAAAAGATAGTTTTTTCAACAAATGGTTTTGGGAAAACTGAACATGCCAGATAAGTTGGACCCGTACCTTAAACCAGATAAAAATAAGTAACTCAATGGATGAAAGACCTAAACCCTAAGAGCTAAAACTGTAAAACTCTTAGAAGAAAACACAAGGGAAAATCTTCGTGACATTGGATTTGGCAGCGATTTCCTGGTTGTGACACCAAAAGCAGAGGCAACAAAAGGAAAAATAAATAAATTGGACTTCATCAATATTAAAAACTTTTGTACATCAAAGAACATTATCAACAGAATGAAAAGACGACTCACAGAATGGGAGAAAATATATGAAAATTGTATATCTGATGAACGATAAATATCCAGAACATGTAAGGAACTCCCTCAACTCAACAACAAAAAAATAACATAAGTCAAAAATGGGCAAAGGATTGAATAACGTTTCTCCAAAGAAGATGTACAAATGACCAATAATGAACTAATGACAAAATACTTAACGTCATTAGTCATTAAGGAAATGCAAATCAAAACCACAGTGACATACTACTTCTCATCCATTAGTGTTGCTGTAATCCAAAAAATGGAAAATAACAAATGTTCTCAAGGATGTGGAAACATTAAAACTGCTGTGCATTGCTAGTGGTAGTGTAAAATGGTGTAGTGCTGGTGCAGCCACTATGGAAAACAGTACAGAGAATCCTCAAAAAATTAAAAATATAGCTGCCATATGGGCCAGCAGTTTTGTTTCTGGGTTTTTATTCGAAGAAAGCAAAAACTAATTTGAAAAGGTATATGCTCTCCTGTGTTCATTGCAGCATTTCTGAAAATAGCCAAGATGGAAGACAACCTAGATGTCCTTTGATAGATGAATGGATAATGATAATGTCACACACACACACAACACACAATGAAATATTACTCAGCAATAAAAAAGAATGAAGTCTTGGCGTTTAAATAAATGGGTGAACCTAGAGGGTATTATGCTAGGTGAAATAAGTCAGAGAAAGAAATAAAGTACAATCTCACTTATATGTGGAATCTAAAAAAAAAAACAACAAACAGATCCATAGATACAGAGAACAAGCTGATGGTTGCCAAAGGAGAGGGGATGGGGAGATGGTGAAAATAAATATTAAAAAATTAAAATGGTTTAGTACTGTGGTAAATAGTTTGGCGGTTCCTGAAAAAAGTTAAATGCAGAATTACCATTGTGATCTAGTAATTCTATTTTTTTTTGTATGTACCTAAAATAATTGAAAACAGGCACTCAAACAAATACTTGTATACCAGTGTCCATAGCAACATTATTTACAATAGCTAAAAGATAGAAACAACCCAAGTATTCATCAATTTATGAATGGATAAACGATATGCTATATACGTATAATGGAATATTCATCCTCAAGATTGAAGTCCTGATGCATGCTACAACTTGGATGAACCTTGAAAACATTATGCAAAATGAAATAAGCCAAATATAAAAGAACAATTACTGTGTGATTTCACTTATATGAAGTACCAAGAGTAGGCAAATTCATAGAGATTGAAAGTAGAATACAGGTTAACAGGGGCTGGGGGGAAAGAGGAATAGTGAGTTATTATTTAATGATACAATGTTTATGTTTGGGATGATGAAAAAGTTTGAAAATATAAAATGGCAATGGTTACATAACTTTGTGATTGTACTTAATTGTATACTTAAAGTGGTTAAGATGACAGATTTTGTATATTATGTGAATTTACCACAATTTAAAAAATTAACTCAAAATGGATAATAGACCTGAGCATGACACTGAAGCTATAAAACTGAAGAAAACATAGAAGTAAATCTTTGTGACCTTGGATTAGGCCACAATTTCTTAGATATAACACCAAAAGCACAAACAAGAAAAAAGAAAAAGATAAATTGAGCTTCTTCAAAATTAAAAACCTGTGCCTCAAAGGACACCATCAAGAAAGTGAACCAACCCACAGAATGGGAGAAAATATTTGCAAACATATCAGATCAGGGATTTATATCTAAATTATATAAAGAACTCGTACGACTTAACAAAAAGACAACCTAATCAAAAAGTGGGCAAAGGCATTAAATAGACATGTCTATTCATAACATAGTTTTGAATATTATCTGTATACAATTGGCCAATAAGCACTTGAAAAGAATCTCTATATCATGAGTTTTTAGGGAAATGCAAATGAAAACCATCAGATGCCACCTCACAAAAATTTTCAAACTCAAAATTTCCCTTTGAGCATGTCTGAATGACTGAAAGCACCACGAATATTGGTTTTGAGGTTACAAATTTTATCGAATAAGCAAATTCGCAAGTATGGAATCCACAGTGAGGATTGTCTGTTCTTCTTTAAGGGGGAGTAGTTGAGGAGAGCCCCCTTCTGTCTTGGTGGTTTTAAATCTCACATAAGATCAGTCACATCAGTTATTCATTCCCTAATCTTTTCACCCAGATACTTAATTTGGCATAAAATAAAATCTGCTGAACAGGTGATTCTGATGATAGGCCAAGTTGTGCATTCACTGTTGTGGTCCAGCCTCTCAATTTTATTAGCTGAAAAATGGAATATCCCTTGCTAAATGTCAAATAGCAAAAAAAAACAAACAAAAAACAAAGTGACATAAGTATTTACAAGGATGTGGGAATGGAAAGTGGTTCAGCCACAATGGAAAACAGTATGTCAGTTCTTCCAGAAGTTAAACATAGTTACTATGTGACCTAGCAATTCCACTCAATAGATGTATTCTCAGGAAAATTAAAACATGTCCACACAAAAGTGTACACATAAATATCACAGCAACTTAGCTGTAAGTGGAAACAATCCAAATGCCTATCATTTGATGGGTGGGTAAACAAAATGTATAGCCATACAATGAAATGTTATTTAGCAATAAAAAAGGAATAAAGTACTGATAGATGCAGCAACATGGATGAACCTTGAAAATATGATGCTAACTCTGAGAATGAGTCAAAAAGGATCTCATAGTGTGACTCCATTCATTTGAAATGTCCAGAAACAGACTGGAGGCCGCCTAGAGCTGTGGGAGTAGGCAGGGAAGTAAGGAGTGACTGCAAATTGGTGAGCTTTTTCTTTTGGGGATGAAAAGGATCTGGAATTAGAAAGTGGTGATGGTTGTACAACTCTGAATGTCTTAAAAATCACCAATTGTATCTTCTACAAGGGTGAATTACATCTCAATAAAACTATTAAGTTTTTTATTTTAAAGAAAAAGGAAATTAGAGTTTTTATATGACAGCTAAAGTGAATACTTTTAATGTTTCAAATTATTTGTTGGTATTTTTTACAATCATAATGAGCCTTATTTTTTGTAATAAAAAACAGTACAAAAATGTGGAACGTGAGACCCTTCATAATCCTCCACCACCACTCACATTTCTTTCTCAGTTTGCTTCCTCCCCAAGAAGGGAATATAATTCCTAAGCAAGAATAAATTTAAATCCCAAGAAGTTCGTCTGATGTGGTCGTTAGCATATCTTCTGATTCACTTGAGTTTGTAACCCCATAAGTAGACTCACTGGTGGGCACCTTCTTTATGAAAAAGTATCTGCTATTTGAATGGCAGAGCTATCGGTGGGTTGTATAATGTCTGTGTAAAGACATAGCATTCTCGTGTGTCATCTTCGTCCCATATTTTTTTTAATGCCATGAGTGTTTCTTTGGCTGGTTTCTAGGGCTAAGCAAGAACGTAAAGCAGGATTCTGAATTTCTGTCTTTAAACTAAGAAGCACTTGCACGAACCTTAAGAGTGCTTACAGATCAATATTTTCTAATTGGAAGGCTATTTACCTTTTACACAGTAACACTAAAGTTGTAATAAATTCCTAAATCAATGCTTCTTTGATGCTTCCTTGAACATATGTAGACAGTGCTATAATAGTGGAGGAGGTTGTTTTTCTGTAAGTATGGGAGTGGTTGATTATATCAGTATTATGTATTTGGGACATCTTTAACGAGTTTTGTTTAAATGAAATATTTATTTATTCTTTCAGATGTATTTATACCTATGCCAGAGAACTTACTAGTAAATTTAAATGAAAGTAAAGAGGTAAGGCACATTTTCCTATCTGGCATGTTTAATTGAAATATTAAAGGAATGTATTTTTGAAATGAACCTTAAATAAAAATTTCTTTCTGCTTCTTTCTGTGACATTTCTTAGACTTGTAGCATTTTATATTTCGCTGTTAGTTAATTCGCTGTTAGCTAATCCGAAGAATAGCTCTTGAGTTTGCCCTTGAACTGATTGCTTTTAAGTCTAATGTAGCAAGTTATTTGGAGTAGGGTAGAAGATAAGCCTGTTCCATTAAGGAAGAAAACCTGAAGGAAATCTGCTTTGCCAGCCATTTGGGAAATTGGGAGGGTTGCTGAGATAAGCTTCTGGTCACTACATGGAAGCACTTTAGGTAGTCTGCTTTCAGTGCCCTTTGCTTTTCTGATTCACAGAGTGTCATTGGGGTCAGTTCAGAAGAAACTCTTATTACCTGCCTGGAAATTGCCATGACATAATACAGTGAGAGGTGAACAGAATGTGTCTGAAGGGGGGATGTTGTCTACCCTGTACATGCATATATGCCGTAGGGGTAACATTTTAACTAGCAAGTCTATGGTCTCAGCTGTTGGCAATGGTGACTTTGCATTAGTGCAAAGTATTTTTTTACATTAACTCTCTTTATTGGTACAACCTAACCTGAATAGGTAGTTATGTTTCTTTTTTTTCCTCTTTTGTTGTAATATTGCTAGTTGGCAAATTTGCTGGATATTTTAGATTTCGTAATAGGAAAGAATTAAACTCACTTTGCAACTGATAAGTGTGTAGAGGTGATTGAGAAGGCCATATTTCATGGCATTAAAATAAATCAAATCTCTAAACTGTGATGGTTCTTTTGGACACATTTTGGACTTATAGTCTTGCTGGACTACTGCATGTGCAAGAACTGTAAGGCCCCAATTTTGGTTTGTCTTGCTTGCCAATTTATAATGTTGATTTAAAATGGCTTTCTTGTCATTTGACCAACTTCATTGTTTACTGTACTGTCTGTAGATTCTCTGACCATCATCATGACTCAGTGTCTTGTCTATTGTATTAGTTACTGACTATGTGGAAAAAAATTTTAATTGTAACACTCTTGAGTTTTCTTGGTTTATTTCACAAGCTTGTCCAAGATTTACTGAAAACTTTGCCGCAAATGTTCACCAAGACCCTGGAGACCCAGAGTGCCTTGGGTCCTGCACTTCAGGCTGCCTTTAAGCTGATGTCCCCAACTGGTGGTCGAATGTCTGTCTTTCAAACACAACTCCCAACTCTTGGAGTGGGAGCCCTGAAACCACGAGAGGAACCCAGTCAAAGGTCATCTGCTAAGGTTAGAAGGTCATCAAATTTATGATAAGATTTATGCTAGTGCTCTGTTCCTTTGACCACACAGCTTGTATGTTATGTGGTTTTCAGTTGAGAAGAGGAGAGAATTTAAGGAAATGGATAAAATGTTTCTCTTTTACGTAGATTTTTCTATTTTATTACATTATTTTCTACATGATTCACCTTTACCTTGTTTTTAGATCTTTAGGAGGCCACTAGCAATGCAGTCTGCTTTGATGAGACGGGGAGACTAAGAGAATATGCTTGCTAGGGACAAAGTAGAACCTGGATGACCAGTAAAAAGTAGTTGTAGTTCAGTATATTGACTGACATGGATGGCTTTTGAGCACCTCGTATGTATAAACTTAGTTCGAGATGTGTATTTCTCCAAAGATTATGAGAGTGAGATCATATAATGATTATGATATCTGTCCTGGAGTCAGTCTGCCTAAGTTCCACTGCTTTTTAGATGTGTGAGCTTAAATAGCTACTTAATTTCTTTGCCCCTCTGTTTTCTTATATTTATTAAGTGAAAGTAATGATAGTACCCTCTCTTAATGATAGTTGAAAGGACTAAATATATATTACATTTGAATTGTTTAAAACAGTTACCAGCATACTAAGCATTTAATAGATTATCAAAATTAGTATAATATATTTATTTTTTAAAAAGTAAAACAAAAAGAAAAAAAGGAAGGTTCATAAGCAATACATGTTCCTTTCTCACTGGAAAACTAGAAAATATTACAAAGCAAAAGAATTTTGTAGACTGCCCAAAGAAAATTAATACCTTGATATTTATAGATAGGTACTTAAATTTTATGACAATTTAATGATTTAAATTTTTTTCTTTTTGTAATTTATTATTAATAGGATATTCACTTGACACCATCCACTGACTTCTATAAGAAATTAGCCTTGGACTGTTCTGGTCAGCAGGTAGCCGTTGACTTATTCCTTCTCAGTGGACAGTATTCTGATTTAGCTTCATTGGGTAAGTTTTCCTAATGATTATTTTTCTCAAATGTCAAAATGATATCTGTATAATGGTATTCTAAATAGAGGATAAAGTGAAAGAAATTTTATTATCTTGGGAAAGTTAGTTTGGTCTATTATAAACCTTATAGCCTTCTACTCTAAACATTTATAATAGAGAAATTTCTATACTGCTACTTAAAGGAATTAAATTTTCTTTTTTGACAATGCCTTGGGAGATTACAGAAAGATTTATTTAAATGCCTGTAGTTACTTGGGTACAGTAATGGTAATTAATGGCAAAATTTAAAAGGAGGTATGTTCTCTTTCAGGTTGTATTTCTCGGTATTCAGCAGGTAGTGTTTATTTCTATCCCTCTTACCACCATCAGCACAACCCAGTCCAAGTACAAAAATTGCGGAAAGAACTACAGAGATACCTCACTCGGAAGATTGGCTTTGAGGCAGTCATGAGGATTCGGTGCACCAAAGGTGGGGGCACTTTATTTACATTAATAAAGGAGTAAGTGTTGCTTTTGATACCAGTAAATATATGTTTTCACCTAGTCTTATCTCATTAAATTTACTTTCTAAGATATTTTACTAACTGATGGAATATGCAATTAGGAATAAGAAAAAAATTTTTAAAAGGGGACTGTTGAATATACTAAAAACCACTGAACACTTGAAAACTGATTTTTTTTTTATAGTAAATGAATTATATCTCAATGAAAAAAGATCACATCCCCAAAGAAAATAAAGCATACTATTCATGGATTTTTATTCTACTTATTAAACAGTAGTAGTGGAAAATCTTATTTTTTTAAACAATTTTTTAAATTGTGGTAAAATATACATAGCATAAATTTACCGTTTTAACCATTTTAGCTATGCAGTTGAGTGGCATTAAACCCATTCTCATTGTGCAGCCATCACTACTATCCATCTCCAGATGTAGGAGATCTTTTAATATGTGCTCTTCTCATCCTGCACCTGCTACCAAATACAATGCCACCTGTTGCTTGGAAATAGTCTGTTTCAGAAAGCCTATGTCCAGTTTGTTTTCCTGGATAAATATTTTGTGGCTGCTAAATGATAAGTATTTTCTCATGAAAATGGGAAATTATATAATTCTGGATATTTCATTTGTCCATATTATCAACCTGGTTCTGATCTTTTGTTCAGATTTTAAAATATCATTGCTCAGGCATGCTACCCTAAACATGCCTGATCCCAGCAATCCCATCTGATTTTGGAAACTAAGCAGGGTCCAGCCTGGTTAGTACGTGGATGGGAGACTACCTAGGAAGACCAGATGCTGTAGGCGCAAAAATAAATAAATAAATAAATAAAAATCAAATATCATTGCTCTGTAAGAGAGTATGTAGCAATAATATTTTAAAGTGGAAAGATTATATGAAATATGTAGAAAAAAATAGATACCAAAAGCTAAAGATCTAGAAACCTGCCCACTAGATAAATGTTGAAATCTATTGGTCAAACCATGTGCCAAATGAAGTGATCTGTTATCCATTACTATAATAAAAATAAAAAGTGATTGAGTGAAACTGATATGGTATCAAGTAAATACTTGAAAGGTTGCCACATCCCCAAATAACTCATGGTATTAACATCATGCAAAACCAGGCAGTTACCGCAATAACCTTCTGTTTCTGCTTTCTTTTTTTTATAACAGCTTTATTGATATAAAATTTACATACCATACAATTCACCAATTTGAAATGTATAATTCAGTGGTTTTCAATATATTTACCACAATATTACCACAATGAATTTTAGAACATTTCCATCATCTCCAAAAGAAACCCTGTACTGATTAGCAGTCACTCATTCCCCACCCTCTCTACTCTCCCTCGCACAGCTCTGGCAGCTTTTGGAAACGCCAGTCTATTTTCAGTCTCTATTCTGGTTATTTCACATAAATGGTGGGGTCATACAATATGAGTCCCTTTGTGACTGGCTTCTTACACTTAGCAAAATGTTTTTAAGGTTAATATTGTAGCATCTATCAGTATTTCATTCCTTTTTTGCTTTTTTTTTTTTAAATATTTCATGTGTTTTTATTGCCCAGTAGTATTCCATTGTATAGATATACTTCATCTTGTTATCTGTTCATCAGTTGATGAGTATTTGGGTTGTTTCCACTTTTGAGACATTATGGATAATATTGCTACAAACATTTGTGTAGAGGTTTTGGGACATGTTTTTATTTCTCTTGGATGTATATCTGGGTCATAAGGTAACTGTATGTTTAACTTTAAGAAACTGCCAGAGTGTTTTCCACCACCTGCACCATTTTATATTCCCACTAACTGTGTGTTGAGGGTACTGATTTCTCCACATTCTTTTCAGTACTTGTCCTTTTTTATTTTAGCCATCCTGGTGGGGGTGATGTGATATCTTATTGAGGTTTTGACTTATATTTCTCTGTTGATGAATGACGAACATCTTTTCTGATGTTTAGTATATCTTCTTTGGAGAAATGTCTATTCAGATTATATTCCTGTTTTAAAATTTAATTTGTCTTTTTATTATTGAGTTGTAAAAGCTATTTATATAATTTTAGATACAAGGCCTCTATCAGGTATATGATTGGCAAAAATTTTTTCTACTTCATAGTTTTGCCTTTTTATTTAATATTCTTTGAAGCATAGTTGTTTTTGATTTGGTGGTGTTTCGTTTTTTCTTTTTCTGTTTATGCTTTTGGTGTTAGAGTATTAAACCATTGCTTAATCAAGGTTATGAAAATTTACACTTACAACGTCTCCTAAAAGTTTTATAGTTATACTGATATTTAAATCTTTGACGTACTTGAGTTAATTTTTGTCCTTGATTTGAGATAGATATTCAATTTCATTCTTCTGCATGTGGATATATAGTTGTCCCAGTACCATTTGTTGGAAAGACTATTTTTCCCCCATTGAATTGTCTTGGCACTATGTCCCCTTGCTGAAATCATTTGATCATAAATGTGAGAGTTCATTTCTGGATTCTGAATTTTATTCTTTTAATCTGTATGGCTGCCCTTATGTCTAGTACCAAACTGTCTTGATTAGTCTAATTTTCTAATAAGTTTGAAATTAGGAAGTATGAGTCCTCCCAGCTTTTTCTTTTTTTTTTTCCCAAAATTGTTGTGGTATTCTAGGTCCTTTGTGTTAATTTTAGGTTCAATTTGTTAACTTCTGCAAAGAAGCTAACTGAGATTTTGATAGGGATTGCATTTATTAATAGGTAGATCAATTTGGGAAATATTGCCATCTTAACAGTATTAAGTCTTCTCATCCATAAACATGGTTTGTGTTTACATTTATTTAGGTCTTCAATTTCTTTCAACAATGTTGTATAGTTTTTAAAGTTTTGTATTTTTTTCTTGAATTTATTCCTAAATATTTTTGATGCAATTGTAAATGGAATTTTTTTACATTTCATTGCTTCTTTATATAAATATAATTAATCCTTTGCATATTTATCTTATATCCTGCAGCCTTGCTGAACTTGTTTATTAATTCAAATAGTTTTTTTAGTGTTCGTTTTAAACGAACACTATTTGTTGTATCCCATTTATTCAAGATTGATAGATCTCAAAAATGATTATTTCTGCAGATATTGGCTGTAAATTAGTGGAAATGTACATCCTAAAGGATGGACATGTTAAAACTTTTTCTATTTGGCAGGACAGAAGCTATTTTATATGTATCTAACTTTGCATAAAGAGCTTGGGGGTCCACCAACAAACCAAGGTTTGCCTTCTTTCTAGAGTGCTTAATTTAATAATCTTTGTGGTTACTTGCTTAAGTTTTGCTTTTTCTTTTATGATAAATTTCATTACAAATGAAATAATATGCTCTTAGTAAAGTTAAAAAAAGGGCACAGTACAAAAAGATATAAAATAAAAAATCAAAATTAACATAGTATGTTCTATCTCAGTTTCTCATATGCCTTTGAAAAGTTTTCCCATGCATATATAAGCATATATTTTAGCCTTCAAATAAAAGCAATGGGAATTACATCTGGCTTCTTTTTAATTATACCATTCTATTTTTGTACATACAGATCTACATCCTTTTTTTTAATTATTACTGTTTTAAAATTGGTTTTTATTTTATAAGCAAAACATGCATCTGTTCTTATAAAGAGTAATAACATTGATATAGCTAAAGTCCCCTTGCATTAGCTCGTGTGTGCATGTACTTTCACTTTCATTCCAGCCTTACTCTTGTGTGCATATCAGGCTCTTCTATACATTTACATACTTCTTTACCTCTCCATGGAAAATATATATAGTGTATTAGCATAAATAACATTGTATGATTTTTCAGCAAGTTTTGAAGATCCATTAATACTAGTATTCAGTAGAATGTACAAATCAACAATTTAGTTATTTTCTTACTGATTGGCATTGAGGGTATTTCTGATTTCTTTTTTTATGACAAATGAAAACAATACTGCTTAATTTTTTTTTACACATATAATTTGGCACTTGAATAAGTGTATCTGTAGAATAAATTCATAGATATGGAATCACTAGGATCAAAGAAGTTTTCATTTAGAATTTTAGTAGATGTCAACTTATTCTCCAAAAAAGTTTTTGAAAATTTGAATCCTTATCTTTTAAGAAGATATCTGTTACCAACTTCCTCACCTTCACTAAATACTGTGTATAATCTAATACATTCTGCTTCCAGTTCCAATGTGTGGGTTGCTTTTCCCCACACCACCAAGCAGTTAGCTCAAGTCTGACACTATCTACCTGGAGATAGCATCAGACTCCATAGGTTAAAGGACTCAGTCTCTAAGACTCCTCCTCCCTCAGCTCCCGGCGTGCCCCATGTCCCCCCGTACCCCAGTCCACACGTGCACTGCAGAACCAATTCCAACTCCAGGGTATTAACTGTGGTTGTGACTGACTGAGTATAGATTGGGGGTTGCAGTGACCCCTCCTTGGTTTTCATTAATTTCTTAGAGTGGCTTTTAGAACTCAGAGAAACATTTTACTTACTAGATTACTGATTTATTGTTAAAAAGATATAACTCAGGAACAGCCAAATGGAAGAGATGTAAAGGGCAAGCAAGGTGGAGTGAAATGGAAAGGGCACAGAGCTTTTAGTCTCTTAGTGCTCCACCCTCCCTAAATATCCACCAACCCTGGAATTTTCTGAACTGCATCCTTTTGCGTTTTTATGGAGACTTCATTACATAGTCATGATTGATTAAATTTTTGGCCATTGGTGATTGATTCAACCTCTAGAGCCCCTCTCCCTGCCCTGTAGGTGGGGGGTAGCCAGTAAGTTGAAAGTTCTGATCTTCTAATCACATAGTTAGGTCTTCAGGCAACCAGTACCCATCCTTATGTTACGTAGGTGCTTTCCAAAAGTCACCTCATTAACATAGCAAAAGACACCCTTATCATTCCTTATTACTTGGGAAATTCTAAGGGTTTTAGGAGTTCTTTGCCAGAAATGGGCAAAGACCAAATATATATTATAAACCACAATATCACATCTAAACTTTTTTATTCTCTGCCAGTCTGATAAGTGACAAGGATAAAATATCAACATCCATATGTAGGTGTATATAAATCACTTTGATAAACTTTTCTTTTCTAGGTCTTTCCATCCATACTTTCCATGGGAACTTCTTTGTTCGGTCAACAGATTTACTGTCTTTGCCTAATGTAAACCCAGATGCTGGGTATGCAGTACAGATGTCAGTGGAAGAGAGTCTTACTGATACTCATTTGGTTTCCTTTCAGTCAGCACTCTTGTATACATCCAGCAAAGGTAAGTTGTTTTTTTTTATTGTGGCAAAAAACACATACATGAGATCTACCCTCTTGAGAAGTTTTTAAGTGTACAGTACAGTATTGCTAACTGTAAGAACAATATTGTAGCAGAGGTAAGTTTTTTGATTTAGTTACATATTCTATGACTTGTGATAACTCCCTCTTCTTTGGAGATACTCATTTCTATGAAGCCAAAAGAGTATTCCTGGCCTTAAGAGCTTTGTTGCTGTTCTTAGTGAAGTGAAGATGTTTAGTATTTATTTTACTTAACAGGTATTTGTTGAGAGTCTACTTAGTGTCAGGCACTGAAGTATGTTCAGATGATACAACAGTCAATAAAACTGAATTTAAAAAATCTTTTTCCTCATAGAGCTTAGTAGAGGAGACAGACAAGAGGATAAATAAGTAGAATAATAGTATGTTATATGGTGATAGTAATTGAGGAGAAATATAAAGCAGGTAAAGCATTTAGGAAGTGCTGAGAGGATGGTCTTTTATAGTGTAGCCAGGAGAGGCCTCACAGAAGTGATACTTGAGTTACATTTTAATGGAGCTCAAATAGATAGGAAATATTTTTTAAGGGTATAATTTGTTTATTAGTAATTTATTTATAATGTTTGACATAAAGATGATATGAAAGCCAGTTAAATTTATTTTTTTTATGATAAAGATTTACACTCACCTTCTAACTCTGCTTTACTTCCTTAAAAAAAAAGTTGCGGGAGTGTTTCTGTGCTATGTCTACTTACCCTCACAGCTTCTTAAATATAGAAAAAGTGTGTAATAAAGGCATTTGAATGAAAACCTTTAGTATTAGAGAAGTTCAGTTTTTTATTATGATTATAATTAATACAACATACCATAGATGTAAAAGTAGGAGAGATTTCTGTCTCTCGATGCCTTTTTTAAAAATTTGACAAAAGAACATCCTCATCCCTTTTCTGCTTATTGTTTTTCTTAACATTAAAAAAATTAATATATAATTTTGACATATGGTAAAGTCTACCATTTTAGTGTACAGTTCCACAAGCTTGACAAATGTATTGTGTAACCACCACTCCAGTCAAGATATCACAATCAATTCTGTTCTCCCAAAACCTCCTCATGTTTTTGTAGTCAACCTCTTTCCCATCTCCAGCCCCTGGCAACCATTGATGTTTTCTAACCCTGTAGTTTTGCTGTTGCAAGAATGTCATATAAATGGAGTTATACAGTAGATAATTTTTGTATCTGCCTTCTTTCACTTAGCATAGTGCATTCGAGATTCATCTGTGTTGCATCTACCAGTAGTTTGTTACTTTTTATTCCTAAGTAGTATTCCATTGTACCTCATTTGTTTATTCACTTTCAGATGAGGTCCATTTGGGTTGTTCTCAGTTTTTGGCAATTTCAAATTTAGCCACTGTAAACATATACATCCAGATTTTGTGTAAGCATAAGTTTTCATTTCACTTGGGTAAATACCTAGGAGACAGATTTCTAGGTTATATGTTGAGTGTATGTTTAACTTTTTAAGAACCTGCCAGACTGTTTCCAAAGTGGCTGTACCATTTTGCATTCTCACCAGCAGCATATGAAAGTTCCAGATGCTCTGCATTCTCACCAGCATCTGCTGTTTCAGTGTGTAGTTTTTGTTTGTTTTTGGTTTGAGGTTTTTGTTTTGTTCTGTTTTTAGCCATTTAAAGTATGATGGTATCTCTTTTGGTTTTATGTTTCCCTGATAACTAATGTTGGATATCTTTTCATATACTTATTGTTAGAAGTTTAGGTTGTTTTAATGTTTTGTTTTCATGTAAAATGATTATAATATTTATTCATGTACACAAGTTTTTGTCAATTTTAATAATTTCCCTAAGATGGATTTCTAGAATTAGAAATATAGGATGCAGAGATGAATTTTTTAGGAAAATCATGGTATTTCCAGATTGCTATTGAGAAAGATTTTGCCAATTTATGGTTTAATAAAGTGTCCTTTTCATTCCAGGCTCTGGTTTTGTATGGGTATAGTTGTTGCCAATGTGATAGACTAAACATCTTTTTTCTTTTAGTTAACATTGTTTTTATCTAGAACAAAAACTCAAAAATATTACCCTTTTTTTGCAGACAATATTCCTCTTTTTAAAGTAATTTGTATGTGCTCATAGGTACTTTCATTAGTCTTTATGCGTCAGTACAGGTTGTATTATGGGTATCATCTCTAATTTTTTCACTTATTCTTTTTCTTTGGTGTTCAGGGTCTTGCTGATCAGAAATTTTTAAAAGGTTGACATGATGTTTCATATTTGACGGTTCTCAGAAGGTTTTGATTTTTGTTTTTTGTATTTATTGGTTTTTGTTGTTGTGGGTATATTACCAAAGAGAAAGTATTGTGACTGTTAGTTTCTTTTAAATATTTTTAAAACGAACAAACAAAATGCATGGCCTTTTGCTACCCAAAGAATATATATTCATCACATGACAACCAGACTCTACAAGTAAGATTGTTCAGAGATAATCACTGTCAACATTTTGGTTTCCATAGTTCAAGATTTTTTTTCCACCACGTGAATGTGTGTGTGTGTGTGTGTGTGTATTAAAAATTTTTATTACAAAAAAATAACAAAAATGTTCAGAAAAGAGATTTTTTTTAAAAAGCTCGCAAGTACCATCATTTGAATACGATCCCTGTTGTCTTTTCAGTAATAACTCGAATTTGCGGTAAATAAAAGAAATAAAGCTTTAGAGTTTTCACATTAAAGTTTTGATAGTATCTCTACTTGCTATATAACTGTATTTGGTGCTAAATTGAAAAGAAGTGACTTTTTTCCAAGTGATTTTAATATAAACTTTTAAAATATAGTTGTCTCTTACTATCATTTATGTGCTTTCCTTAAAGGTGAAAGAAGAATTCGTGTTCATACTTTGTGTTTGCCAGTAGTTTCAACTCTGAATGAAGTCTTCCTTGGAGCTGATGTTCAAGCAATTTCAGGGTTATTGGCCAATATGGGTAAGAATCGTTATCACCTATTTGAAATATTTTGCAAGTAATAACATTAGAAAACTCCACAATTTTTTCTTTAAATAATTAACTTTAAGGGTTTCAGTGTTTTGGATCTCATGCATGCCTGCTAAGTAACTATTTGAATAAAGGATCTACTGCAGATAGCCTTATTTTTTTATATTTAAACAGCTTTATTGAGATATATATATATACCATATCACTTAACCCTTAAGTGTACAATTCTATTATTTTTAATATATTTGTAGAGTTGTGTGGCCATCACCTCAATCTAATCTTAGGACATTTCTATCACCCCAAAAAGAACCTCATCCCCATTAACAGTTGACTGTCTACTTCTTCCTCCTTTCCTCTTTGGCCTTAGACAACTACTAAACTGCTTTCTGTATCATAATCTGCCTACTATGGACTTAAATAACCATCTTTATTTAATGTTTAATATTAGTGGTTAGTAGCTTTTTTTTATGAGCTCTGTAAGTTTGATTACAAAAGAGCTTGTACTCTAAAGATTATTAGACTTGGAGTTCTGGAATTTGGGATTGAAAACCAGTTTACTGTCACATGTAAGTTTGCAGCCTTTGCCAGATAACATGGGCTAACAGAAATTTTACTAATATCTTCATATCTTTATTTCCATATCAGATATAGTTGCCTTCTTGATTTTTTTTGGTCCCTTTCTCAAATAGAGCTTAACATCACTTCGGTTCTTGCCCTTTTTATCCTTCAGGGAAGAGTGCTAGGGGGTCCATTTGCTTCAAACTCAAATTTATCTATAATTGGAATATTTATCCATTTTCTTGAATTTCTTACTGGGAATTTTTTCTTTATTGGAGCTTGGTAAAGGGTCCAACCCCATGTTAGTGTCATGTTGTTAAAAGTTAAAGATTGTGACTGAAGAAATTTGAGTTTCACTGCCTTTATTTTTTTTGTGGTTGAACTAATACTTTTGATAGCATATAATCATTATGGTTTTTATTATTATCAACAACTGTGTTTTCACAACAGTTTGCTTCACTGTTACTAAATTTGATTGATCCCAATATGCACATTTTTTCACATTTTATCAAAATCTTTAAAATCAGGAATTTCTTAAATTTATGAAGTCTTGAAGTTACTGTTGAGCAGGTAATAGTAGTCTTCATTTTTTCTTGCCTATGTACAAATTTGGTCATAACAGTTAATGACATCAATTCATTGAGTGTATTTTTGGTACTACATGAATTGAATTTAGTTGTAGTTTCAGAAGTTTTCAAAACAAGTAGTGTTTTTAGTATTAAAATTTTTCTAGTGTGCAGAATGCATATAAACAGAGTGGCATGATAGATGATGGAAATCATCTAAATCTCTAAGAACTCTTTTAATAAATACAAGATAAAAATTCTCTGTTAAGAAAGCATGTATGTTTAATTACAGTTTTTCTCAGTAGTATACAAAATAAAATGATGGATTAAAATTAATAACACTTCAGATTCTGTGAAATAGTTTTCCATTTTACACATAAGGAAACTGAGGCTTATGAAGGTTAATTGCCAAATTGTCATACAGCTAGGAATTAGAAGAGCAGCATTTCAACAGAGATTGGTTTGATTCTCCAAAATATGTGCTTTTAACTGCTATGTTTGGCTCCTTGTGTACGTAATAAATTGGAGAGAGAACTTATATAATTAACGAACTTACTTTTTCTATTCTTAACATTGGAGTAGTTGTGTCTAATTTTTCTTTTGTCTCTATCCCCACTTCTATTAGCTGTTGACAGGTCTGTGACTGCCAGTCTGAGTGATGCTCGGGACGCCCTAGTGAATGCCGTCATAGACTCTCTTTCAGCTTATCGTTCTTCAGTCCTAAGTAACCACCAGCCTGGACTCATGGTTCCTTTTTCTTTGCGGCTTTTTCCACTCTTTGTGTTAGCTCTCCTTAAACAGGTAAGAGAATCAAAACCAGAAACTAACAGTGAAGATGTCAAAAAGCCAAAATTTTTATCCTGTGAACTCCCCTAAACATCGTATATATAACTTTCTGCCAGCTAAATTTTCTGAGAGCAGGGACAGAAACTCTTAATGGAACTTTGGAAGGATTTGTAACTAAAAGTTACAAAATACTGATTTAAAGTATGTCCCTGGTTTGTAAGAGATGCTAAGTATTCACTGATATTTTCAAAGAGGCAAATGATAATCAGTTTTCTAGTTTTCTAAAACAAGAACTGTATATTTTGTTGCTGGACAAGAAGTTACACATGAGACTCTTCTTTTGGCCCTTTTCCTGTTCCCTGCAATATTTCAGCTACATTCTACTTCTTAATCTTAGATATGCCTTCTCATACCTGTCTGCCTGTTTCCATAGCCTACATTGCACCTTCCTATCCTTGTCTTTGAGCTCAAATGTTATCTCTCTGGCATTTGCCTTTCTTTCTATGGTCCTGTAGCTGTTTATGCATGTATTTATTTACACTTTTTCTTTTGATACCTTTTTATCTCCTTTGCCTGCCCTTTGCCCCTACGCCTGACTCTCCAAAAAAGAAAGAAAATTTTATTTTTCCAGTGTCCAAAATATAATGCCCAAGCTTGTAGACTCAGGATAACATTCCCTTATAACATTTTATTTAAAAGCTCATGTTAATAAATCACCTAGGGAATCTTCCCAGATTCCAGAATTGATCAAGGACTGCTGGATCTTGTCAATTTGTATACTTTTCTGAAATCTGAGATCAACCCGTCTGGTGTATGTTGTCTCACCCGGTGAAAAGGGCAACCTATTAGGAATGGCTTTTGAATCTACTTCTAGTTTCTCCAACTCAAATTATATGATTCCATTTTTGAATATAGTATAAATACAGTATAAATTCACAGAGATTACATAAATATTTAAATTTTAACATTTAAAAATCTAAGTTCTTCCATCTTCAGGTGGAAAGACCATTGACATATCACATATTTAATATTTAATTCTCCCTTACTAGGATTTTTGTCTTTTTCCTTCACTTCAGCACCAAGAACAGTTCCTACTACATAGTAGGCACTCAGTAAATATTTTCTGAGTGAAAAAATGGAACTTTTCTTTCATTTCCCACACTATTCTTTCTTCTTTTAGTGACTGCCCACATACCAATTTAAAATATCTTAAGAGCCTTTTCTTTATAATCAATGCATTTGTTTTAAAGCATAATTTTATTACTGTTATCTCTCTGCCTCTTTCTATTTTTTTCCATTAATAGGAATGCTTAAAACTTTACCTCAAAACTTCATTATTCTCCATGAAGCTAATATACCAGTTAAAACTCACAATTACTTATTAACTCTATTCTAAGTAGTTGTCCTCATTTATATTATTATTTTTCCTGGTTGACATGTAAGCTTTGTTCCGTTGTTTAATCTCTCTAAATGTGGGAGAAATAAGTATAGTTAACCGTTAACCACCATTAATCATTACTCAACATTTATAGAACATTTAGATCTTTGGTTCTTCATATGTGTATTTAGTTTGTCATCTGTGGTAATCTTTATTCTTGTGATGATGTTTGTTTTTACATCACTATTACTGTATGGTAGATAGAGTGTTTAGATCTATTTTACTGATAAGGAAACAGACTTCAGAGAGATCAAAATGACTTTGCCATGGTTAGATAGTTAATTTCTCAAGACTTTTACAAGGAAATATGGCCGCAATTTAATAGATGTGTATGACTTCTTAAAAGATACTTTTCAAAGAATAACAGTAAATTTGCTAATTCTGTCAGAAGATGTTCTTTTAACAACTGATATTTGCAAAGTTTTATATGTATTTGTTAAATATCTTTTATTTTTGGATGGAAGATATTTTGTTTGTTTGTTTATTTACAGAAATCATTCCAGACTGGGACAAATGCACGTCTAGATGAACGCATTTTTGCTATGTGTCAAGTGAAAAACCAGCCCTTGATTTACCTTATGCTCACAACTCATCCCAGTTTGTATAGAATTGACAATCTCTCAGATGAGGTAAAATTGATTCTTTTTTTTAGTATTTTTTACTTGAAGATTTGTAAGCTTAATTATATTGAATCCATTGTAGAAACGAGGAAAGATTTGTGTTTTAAAACTTTTTATTTATTGCTTTGCTAGTTCTGTGGGAAAAAAATTTTGATTTTGGGAAGCTCCTTAAAATAGTACCTTTATTTAAGTTCCCTAAGACATATCTATAGAGTAGATCTAAGTAAATGAAGAGATTATCAGGTTGACCAGAACAACCTATGATTTATTTGTTTAAATAAATTGATCCGAAAGGAGTATCCTATGAGTGAAATTACATGAAACACCACAGGTCAGTGCTTAGTGTAATAGTGTTCTTGAATTAAAGAAAGTATATTTATCTAAGTTGTAACATTATTTGCCTTTGGTAGGAAATTTACCTGAATTAAAGTCCCAAGCACGAAAGTGTGAAATCATAATCTTTCTTTCTAAAATTGTGATTAAGTTAGGATATATATGAGGGAAGTAATATTTTGGTTAAAAACCTTTCAGAGTTTAAAGAATTTAAGATGTCTTACATATACAAAGGAGAAATTGCCTATGAAATTTGAGGTAAAAATTTTGCAAATGAAAACTGTTAAGAACATTATTAGTTCCTATGACAGAAATAATAACTCAAGATTAATTCTGTGTTTGAGAAGTTCAACTAATTGGGCCTACCTTGTCCTCACATTAAAAAATGGCAAATTAACATAAAAATATAAATGTAATATATTTTATGTTTATAATATGAAAACCACCAGAAAGAAGAAAAAGAAATCACTCATATTTACACCCAAAGACAAGTACTAATAGCATATCAGTTTGTATTTATCAGGATTCTTGGTTGCAAATAAGCTTAGGAAAGAAAGGGGACTCAAGAACAAACCACAGAAAAGGCTAGGGTAGAGCTAGACTCAGATGTAGCTCAGATTCCGACTGACTTTGCATTGCCTCATTCTTTCAGTCTTCTCTGTAAGACTAGCCACTGATAGCTTCCTTTCTTTACCACCAGAGAAAGATGAGTTTTCTTAGTTCACAATTATAATCAATTTCTGGCCTTAATAAATAAATGTGAAATTGGAGAGAACTATTCAAATCTAATTTGAATAGGCTTTTATTCCTCTCTCAGAATGTGCACATGAGTCAAGCCATGCATTCAGCCATTATTATTAACTCTAATTAAATTCCATACTTTATTTGGATCTCACTGTCATTTATCTAAGATACATGGATATTGATTGCATTTATTGTATTAATTTTTAAAATAATAGAAGTTAATTTGGCTTTATTGAGATTCACAGTAGCTTTGTTTAGATAAATGATGTTTTTTCATTTTTATATTTAAATATGAATAATTATGTAAAAAAGTTTTGATTGATTGTGACTCTATATGACCTGTATCTAAAAGCTTTAATCTTCTGTTTAATTCCTCAGGGAGCTCTCAACATCAATGATCGCACCATACCTCAGCCACCTATTCTTCAGCTTTCAGTGGAGAAGCTGAGCAGGGATGGAGCTTTTCTCATGGATGCAGGCTCTGTGAGTAGTCTGATCCAATCCTTCTCTCTGCAGACTACTGTACCTTCATTCCTCTTAGTACCTTTCTTCCCGAGATTATTTGTTATTTAATTTATATATTTTTGTATTAGCCACCTTCTCCTTCCATAGCTGCCTTTTAAACCAAGCATAAAACATCTCATTTTGGTAAAGAGTAGTTATTGTTAGTTCAGTTGAAGGCTCTACAGTCTCACTAAACTTACTCAGCATTTTGATTTTTTAAAACACCCTCAGTGGTAAAGGTGAGTCATTAGCTCACTCTTATGCTACAGTTCAAAATAATTTTCTTCCTGTCCTCCAGGTACTGATGCTTTGGGTTGGAAAAAATTGTGGACAGAATTTTCTTAGCCAAGTTCTAGGAGTTCAAAACTATGCATCAATTCCACAGACTATGGTAAGACTGTATTATTATAGTGATTGTAGTAGACTTAAAGGGCATTTCAAATTTGGCAAAAACATGAATAGCCCATTTTGAAATCATAGCATAATACTAAAAGTTTTGCCAAAAAAAGTGTTCCCATAGATTGTTTCTCTTTCAATTGAAAATAACGCATTTTTTGTTTTAAAAGCATATTGTACATTTTCTTTTGCATCATGGATTACTCTTTTATTAATATTTTTTTATTTTTTAATTTTAGTTGACATACAATATTATATTAGTTTCAGGTGTACAACATTGTGATTATTTATATAACTTAAGAAGTGATCACCCTGATGACTTATCTGTTCTTTTGTGTCTGTGACAGTACATTATTTTACAGAGGAAATAATGAATTTAGTTGATGGCAAAAAAAAATTATAATAAGTTGCTCCAACTGGCATTAGGGTTATGGCTATTTTTGTTTTTGTGTTTTGGGCACATATTTTCATTGTTCTTTGGCAGGATCCTTTAACTGCTGTTGGATTAAGAACTAAGCTAATTGCCACACAAGCAAATGACTTGTGATCATAATCAGTTGGATTAGTATTGATTATTGAAGAAAGTGAGAATAGACTATCACGAGCTCTGTGACCTTGGACAAGTAATTAACAGCCTCATTTGTAAAATAAGAATGCTATTGTGCATGGAGGAGCAACTGAATTAATCCATGAGAAAGCTTTTGTTAAAAGTATATAGCATTTGGATAGTTTCGAATTTTAGAGTTAGAATTAATTACAACATGGGCTTTTGTAGTCCCTACTATTAGTTTGTCACCAACTTTGGAATATGTGTTTTATGTCAGCATTTTTCCCACATTTATGGGTTTAATTTCATTCATAGAAGCCATTAAGAGAATTTTATATTTAAAAGACATATATGTCGGGATTATAGCTAGGATTAGCACTAGCCTTCAGGCTTTGAGTAAAACTGCTGGTTATTGATTGACTCAACATTTTAAGCAATGAAGAGATAAGAAATTGTCATATTTGTAACAACTACCTGAATGAATCATTTAATTCTAGATGTCATAATAAAATGAAGCGAAGAGTTAGGATGTTAGATCAGGGCTCAGCAAACTATGTCCACGGGGCCCTGCCACCTGTTTTTGTGAATAAAGTTTTATTGGAACATATCCATGTCTATTCACTTATATATCTCTGGCTACTTTAGTAGAACACAGCAGAGTTGAGTAGTTGCAACAGAGACCAAATGACCTGCAAGCCTAAAGTATTTACTGTCAGGCCTTTTAAGAATTTTGCCCACCCCTTACTAGAAAACTGTGATATGCAGAATTTCAAGCTCCTCCCTATACTTCCTAAATCAAAATCTGCAGTTTAGCAAGATCCCCATGCGATTCATTTACAGTAGTCTCCCTTATCTATGGTTTCACTCTCTCTGGTTTCAGTTACCCACAGTCAACTGTGGTCTGAAAATACTTAAAAATCCAGAAATAAATAATTTATAAGTTTTAAATTATGTACTGTTTTTAGTAATGTGATGAAATCCTGTGCCATCCCACTCCATGGCCTGGAATGTGAATCTTCTCTTTTCTAGTGTATCTCCATACTGTCATATGTCACCTGCCCATTAGTAGCTGTCACTTAGTAGCTGTCTCAGTTATCAAATAGTCTGTCAGGGTATCAGAGGGTTTGTGTTCAAGTAGCCCATTTTTTTCCTTAATGGCCCAAAACGGAAAGAGTAGTGATGCTGGCATCAGATATGCCAAAGAGAAGCCATGAAGTGCTTTCTTTAAGTGAAAAGGTATGTATGTATGTATAGGAAACAAATATAGTATATATAGGGTTTGGTACTATCCATGGTTTTAGGCATTAACTGGGGATCTTGGACTGTATTTCCCATGGATGAGAGGGGGACTACTGTACATGACAAAGTTTGAGAATCATTATAGATGATACATTACCTATATGGGTAGAGTAAATTGGATGTTGCTGGTTTTTGTTTAATAGACAGACCTTCCGGAACTTGATACACCAGAATCTGCCAGAACAATAGCTTTCGTCTCTTGGCTTAGAGAGCAGAGACCATTTTTCCCAATATTTTATGTAATAAGGTGAGTTGAATTTTTCATTTGCTAATAGTGAAACAATTTGGCCTTGCAAGGACCTGTTTTGAGTCAAAGATATGTGACTTGTTGCTTAAGCAAACCCTTTAGAAAAATATAGAAAAAAAGAAAAAATTTTAAACAATACTAAATTATGCTTTACATCCAGTTATTAGTAAAAAGTATGTCAAAAGACTTGTGACAAATCCACTGTTTATTTTACCATCACATTTTATCTAATGTATATAAATACGTTTTTTTATTCCTAAGGGATGAGAGTCCAATGAAAGCAAACTTCCTTCAAAACATGGTAGAAGACAGAACAGAATCTGCATTATCATATTATGAATTTCTTTTGCACATACAACAGCAAGTGAATAAATGAACAAATGAAGATATTTGACTTGGTTATTTCTAAGGAAAGTCACAATAATGCAGAACACCTGAGAATGTATCATACCTTCCTTTTCTATTAGGTTTGTGGACTGATGTGATGATTATATGTTCTCACTGTGATTTCAACAACCTATAGCAAATAAAGGACCACAGCAAAGAATCAAACATGCAACTCTGAAATACTGTATTTTTCAAATCAAAATATATCTACATATGATGGGATACCTTTTTTTCTTTGCCAATTATGTTTGAGTTCTGGATTGAAATAAGATGAGACAATATTGCAGAGGCAAAGTACATTTTGTAAAATAAAGACTTCTGTGTTCCAAATGTATATTTCTCATTTTTTCCTGAATTTTTGGCTGCTACATTTAAAACCTCACAAGACTAAGTGTTGCAGGGAAGTTACAAATCTATTGATAATGATCCTTCTAAAATAAAAAAGTTACATAAGTATGTAGAAAAACTAGAATCCATCCCCCACATCTTTTTTTTTTTCTTATTTAAGGAAGAAAAAGGATCATGTTAACTAAAACTAGAGTAAACAAACTAGCTTGAGAAGAATATGAGATAATATAGTCAAGCTGTAACATCTGTCAGTATTCTCTATACTTGAAGAACAAAGTCACCTTGATTTGAAGTGAAAACTAAGTAGTTTTCTGATTTGACTGCAAAAGACTTGAACACACTATCGCATTCTACAGTGAAAAGAATCTGAGTTGTCTTCATTAAAAATATTGGGACTGGCAATGATAATAGGGAGATGAAAAGCTAGTTGTCTTGATCCTTCAAGTGGGATTTTTTTGGTACATTTCTGCTCTGTGATATGTAATCAAAGTGTTATATTGGAGAAATGAAGATAAATGAAAGAAATTAAAGTTTTCTTAAATGCTGTCTCAAATGCATCAGTAACATTTTTCTAAGGATTTTAATAATTGAAAGCCGCTCATAAAATGTTTATTCTTGGGTCTTAAAACTTATTAAAGCATGAATGCTGCTGTTTGATTTGATGGATATTAAGATTACACAAATCCAGTATATTGAATTTATGAAAGAAACTTGATTTCTGAACATTGTCAAGAGACTCTGTTTTTGATTCAGCCAGAGAAATGTTATCGTCAAAACCATTAAGTGAATTTTGTTTACAAATAGATAAATTATACATCTGTATACATGAAGTGCTGTGATGGAATATCTTTAAAAGTTTGTCCCAGTTTTCACAGATGCATCTTGTCTTGTATGAACTTCTTAAAGATGTTCTTGTGTAATACTTGATGAAAAGATTATTTCTTTGCTTTAATGGGTTAGGAAAATGTGTTTACAATCTCGATCTCATATGATCATCATTGAAATAATAACTTTCAGGTTTACATCAATATGAGCTGACTTTAACTGAGTTGTTCTGGGATAGGGAAGAAGCAGATCCCACTAGAAGATACACTACTGCTTGTCAGCTGGATCAGAATAATTGTTTGTGTTTTATAAAGATATCATCTCCCTTAAGCAGTGTTAAGGTTTATTTTCAGTATGCAAGTGGTATATTGAACTGGAAATATTCTTGAAAGCTGCTTCATTTATTAGGAAGCAATTTTCAAAGTATGGCTAATTTGTATTTTCCCCTCTTTTAAAGAAACAGTCATTATTATGCACTGATGTTTCTTAAAATAACTAAAATTCTCTTCTTAATGTGAATTTTAAAAGTTGATATTTGTAGGTCCTTTCTTAATGGTAGTAAAGAATCTTCCAGAGGGAAAAGTTTGTGCTTCTAGGGACAATAATCTTCCTTGTGCCTCACTTCATCCCTAAGTGGGTGTGACTCTTGTTATTACTACATGCTTTGTTAGACTATTTCACAAATTTACTTTTAAAATTTTACTTTAAAAGATTATTTTAGATATTGTGTAACATGTGCAATCCAGAATTATTTTATAATAGCCAGGTCATAAAAGAAAAATAACTTTAAGATTCACAATATTTGTTCTCTGGATAATGAGGGAATGAATGAACCTTGTGGAGATATCGATATTAAGCAATTATTTTTTGCAATATTGAACGTGTTTTTTTAGTTCGATTTTTTTTTTTTTTTTTTGCAGTAGGGCACTACCTGCTATCTCATCTTTATTACTTTTTTATGTAAAGCAACTAATATTTACACTGTTATTTTTTTTTATTGTAGTTGTAAATTATGAAAGATCCTTGAATTTTCTACAGATCTACAAATACTAAAGTAACAGACAAGGGCAATCTTGGTATTTAAATCTGAGCATGGCAGTTCTACCATAAAAAGTACTCTATTTTTCTAATTTCTAGGATTTTTAAAATAACATTTCTGTAAGTCCGACATATTAATATTCACTCAAGTTCTACCATTGATTTTAGTTTGCATATATTTTGTTTTAATTTAATGTATTGAGTCTAATAGACTGTTTTACAATAATTAGAATAAAAGAGTTATTTCTTCTAATCAAAGATGCATAACAGCTATTATCTAGGGGACCATCAAATGTGATTTCAAGATTTTGTTAACTATTACAAATATAATCCTTATATGGAAATTTTAATTTTGTAAAGTAGTGTATAATATTATAACATTAAATTCTTGTTCTCAAATTCAAATATGTATTGATCTTCAACGTGCTGTTAAATCTTGCTACTCTGAAATGTTAGAGACAAGATTTGTCTTCCTTTCTACAGTTTGTAATTTTCACTGTTTTATTCCTGTAAAAGAAAAATCATTTGTAACCCATGAAAAATAATTGTTTCAACTGTGCTAACTTATCAATTTGGCTATTCAATAAAGTTAATTGAAAGAACATACAGTGACTAGTTATTTAAAGTGATAAGAATAACTTGCCAATCAGTGAGTAGGGTGCATCCAGGTTGTCAGTGATAAACTATTGCCGAAGATGTTTTAAATCTAAGTCTGTGTCTAAGAGTTTAGAAACCGAATTCTTGATGCTCACTCCTTAAGGCTAGCTGGTTTTAAAATTCTAGATGAAAAGTTTTTTGTTCTAAATATGTTTAACATACTACTTGTCTTCTGGACCCTTTTGTTATTGGTAAAATGCGTACTGTCAGTCTAATTGTTTATTTGAAAATAATTTATCTTTTAAGATTTTTCTTTTATCCTTATTCTATAGTTTTACTACTCTGAGTTTATTGTTAATCCTGCTCGTTTTTCAGAGCACTGTTTAATCCAAAAATCCTTGTCCATCTTCAATTGTGGAAAATTCTCAGCTACTTTATATGTATTTTTTTTTTAATTTTTTAAAGTTTAAGTGTAAGTGACATACAAAGCTCTTTAAATATTTGCTTCTCTTTCATTCGCTCTATTTTTTTACCTTTGGAATTCTTACAAAATGTACGGTTTCACTGATTTGTGACTATGTCCAGATTTGAGTTTAATCTTACCTATTGAATTTTATACTTATCTATCGCATAACTACATTTTTCAATTCCAAGATTGATTTTTATATCCATCTGTTTATTTCTGCTGTTTTTGTTCAATAATGTATTAAAACGTCTATAAAATTATTTCCAGAATGAATTCCAATTTTTAATTTGGCTATATTTAAATGTATATCTTCACATTCGTTAGAATTTGGGTTTGTAGGCTCATTTGAGAGGGAGGGTTTTCATTTTTGTTTTAGCTCATCTCACTCTGTCAGTACTTTCCCCCTCCCTATCTATGGGTTTTTTAGCTGCACTTCTTGGCCCCTTCCCCAAAACTAGCACTTAATGGTGGTGTTTTAGAGCCCCAGTCTTGCAATGATTTGGGGATATCACCATTTCAGTCACCACCAGTGGGAAGTCTAGTTGTTTGCCCTCTCTTCTGCCTCCTTACAAAGTTGAAGTCCAAGGCTATGTAAGTCAATAGCAAATGATTTTAAAATATTTTTGGAGGGAGGGCAGATAAGTAGTGAGTTTGGCCTATTCGTCCCTGTGTCATATGGAGCACTTTGAGTGCCACTTACCCATAGAATGTGCTACCATTGCCTGCTTCTGGACCTACAGCCCAATAGGCACCAAACTTCAGCTCCACAATACTTTGTGTTTCCAATACTTTGGTCTGCTGAGATGTTTCTCTTGTTTTTGAGTCCATCAGTTTTTCTCCTTTATATTTTCAACTGTTAACTGTTATTGCTGTGTGGAGTGGAGAGGGGCCCAAGTGTGAACTTACTGCCTAAATTTAATCCCAGAAACTGAATTCTAGTTTTATCTCCTGTCAATCTGTTCAGCTTTGTACCTGCAGTTTATTAATAAAGTATTAATATTAGCCTACTTAATGCTAGGATCTAATAAAAATTATATGTAAAACTCATTGAAAATGCCAAGTTTGAACACTTCTTCTAAAAGAGAAATTTCTGCAACTATTCAGGTAACTTTAACCTAGTGCTCTCATTGCTAGGTTTGGGGAAAAGTGGTAAAAAAAAAAGGATGGGTTTGCCGTTATAAAGTCTATAGTGAGGGAGATAGAAATTAATACAAGAATTGTAAGAGTGCATATAATTTATCAAAGAATCACATGTACCATTGAGAAATACTAGGACATTCAATTAATAAACTACAAGAACCCCACAGGGAAATGGTTTCCCAGAAATAAGTGTGTAATATGAAATCTTGACACTTTTCTTACTTGACTAAATGAGCCATCATACATAAACACACCTATCTGAAGAACCCAAATTTTCATTTGGCTTGTATAGACTCTCAAATAAATAAGATTTTGTTTATCCTTAAACTTATTTGATCTGAACTCATCAGGATTGTATCGCATCAAGTTCTGCACATTTGTTACTACTTAGCAATGATTCGAACTGTAGAATTTTTAAAAAGACTATGGTCCTCAGAGATGTAGATCTCTACACATATGCAGGAGAATATCTTCTAATGCTTTAAAATTGTTAACTATGGTATGTCCCTGGGATTTAGCTTTCATCCAATCAAGGGGGAAATTTCAGTGTTTATACTTGAGTTCCTTATGTTGTCGAATTCAAAAGATAAGTTGTCTTTTTGTATACTTTTTCCCTCAAACTATCTAGGACAGGATTGATGATTAACAGTTAAATATGGTATTTTATAACCTTCTGAGAGGGGTTTCACATGTCTCCTGATTTTGAGCATGATTATGTAGCCGGCTTCATTGCAGGGGGCGCACTAGGGGGCTTCAATCTCTGAGTTGAGAGATTCAATTCCTTCATTCATTTACTCATTTTCTTAGTCATTACTGAGTCCCACCGCTGCATTTGCAGTTCCTAGGCACTTTGTTTTTGTGGGCTCCTTCCTCCGTAAAAGCTAATTTATATATTATGACTGTGTTGATATATGGATGCCTATAATCCAGCCTGGATTCATTATTATATATTAATTACTATTACATATTTTCCCCCAATTTTAAAAGAGGTTAAAAACATTTTCTTGGTTCCCTAAGACTATCGTGGACCCTCAACACTGCCTAATGGATAAGTCGGTCCTGCTGAGCATTCACACTGTTCTAGGAGTTGCAGCCTTGAACAAAATACATTGCTTGTCTTCATGGAGCTTGCATTCCAGCAAGAAATAGACACTAAACAAAATAAGTATGTTTAGCTTGCGAGTAGGTTAAGGAGAAAAATAAGGCAGATGAAGAGAATAGGTATTAGACTTACTGGGGTGATCACTTCATAAGTTGTATAAATGTCTACTATGTTGTACACCTGAAACGGATCTAAGATTGTATGTGAACTGTAATTGAAATTTTAAAATTATTTTTTAAAAAAGAGAAGAGGGAGTGTAGAGAGGGGGTGGTGACAATTTAAATAGAATGAACTGGGAAAGTTTCCCTGGCAAAATCTTGAACAAAGACGTAAGGAAAGCCCGGAACAACCAACCAGGCCTGTTTGGGAGACGAGCGGTTGAGGATGAGGAATCAGCACCAAGAAGAGATCCCAAATGCCACGCTTCCTAAAGCGTCGCTTCCGGAGTTACGTAATTACCGAGGCCTAGAAGCGAGACCACAGAAGGTCAATGGAAACAAGTACCTGCCGTTGCAACCGCCATTTTGCTTTCTGGCACCAATCTGAGATGAGTGTACTCCTCGCTCTCATCTCTTTTCTGTTGGTCAGGCTAGGTGCCGACTTTCTTCACTTCCGAATGGGCAGTAGCGGGGCCTGGTGGAGGCGGGAGAGGAGCGGCCCGTGGGGGAGAAAATGTGAGTATCCCGCTCTGCCCTCATTCAAGATGGCGGCGCAAGCCTCCGCTCGCTCCCATCAGGTGGCGCGCATGTTTAGTCCGCAGTCTCCAGCCCGCGAGGCGGGTCTACGGTGGGAGGAGGACGCGCACCGTGCGGCCGGGCCTGAAGTCATCGGCTCGGCCGCTGCAGCCACCCGCACAACCACCGCCACTCCCTGATTATGGAAGGGAAGATGGAGCTGGTAACTGTCGCTCCTGACAGCGGGGACCAGCCAGGGGCCCCAGTCGGCTCAGGCCTGTCGGCTTCCCAGCGTCGGGCCGAGCTGCGGCGGAGAAAGCTGCTCATGAACTCGGAACAGCGCATCAACCGAATCATGGGCTTTCACAGGCCCGGCAGCGGCGCGGGTGAGGACCTCCGTTTCCCGTTAGTGTCCCCTCCACCTCTTTCAGTCTTCAGGATCATTCTTTCCCGCCGCCCCGCTTATCTTTTTGACCAAGTCCTGCTTTCTGACCCCACGGCCCCATCTGTCCCCGCTCCTTAGGTTATGTCCTAAGTTCTCACTCAACCCCTGGACATTTCTAGTCGCTCTCCTCAATTTTCCGGAGGCTTCGCCCAGAGGTGGTCCCACCTCCGCCTCGGGCTGCGCAGACCTTGCTTCAGAATCCCTCTGCCTTCGTGCCCTTTGCCTAGTTTACTAAGACGACCCCGTCTTGCTTCCCCCCACCCCTTCGCCTTTTGAAGGGCGCACATTCTATAACCAGGTCGACTTCTCTCACTATTGTGCATCTCAGGAAGATCGCTTTCCTTTCTTTCTGTTCCAGATGTTTTTCCTTTCAGTGCCTTCCCTAGTTTCTGCCTTTTTTGCCTTTTGCTATGACTCTGTCGGCCCACATGAGCTTGTCTTTACTCACCTGCCCCCAAGTCCTCCCTATATGGATCAGGGACTCTTACGGTCATATCCTCGTGTCTGTGTTCAGTGCCCTCTGCACTGTCATCTTCAGGCCTTCTGAAACAGGTGAAAAAAATTGGAGCGATCATTCTTTATAGACCCAACCAGTGGGACTTGCCCACTCGAGGTCTTCTCTCCTACTGTGCTGAGGTTGGTGTGATTGATGTCAGAAACTGCATTTAACCCTAATGAGAGTTCCTCATTTCTCCCCAATGGCATGTACAGTGAGTTCCTTTAAATTATTTTTCATGTGAATATTTATTGAACATGTAGTATGTGCTAATTTTCTCTTAAGTTTCCGTTGTTTTGTCATTAGTAACTGGCCTTTAGTCACTGGTTACAAGCTCCTTAGATCCTTGTGACTTCTGTTTGGTGAGGATTTAGATATATGGTTCTGAACTTAAAGATAGTTAACAGGTTTGCAGCTGAAAACTACTAAAAGAGATGAGAATGCTGTTTCAGATTCTCCTAGAACCATAGTTAGAAGACATATTTCTTCTTTTAATGACTAATAGAATATTTATTCTTTTCCAAAGAAAGTATTTACTTTTTCTTGAGGTACATTCCATATCTTGTTCTTTTGCTTTGAAAATTTTGTCAGTAAGGTTTTGTTTTGTTTTAAAGCAGAACTGCATCCTTAAACTGCTCAAGTCCCTACCCCTGACTACAGTAGAAGGATTATGTAAACAATAGC